TGAAAGGTGGCTGGGGAGTTCGTGAGTCCGAAGAACATAACCAGAGGTTCGAACAGTCCTCTGTTAGTTCTGAAGGCGGCCTTGTGCTCATCTCCTTCTTTGATTCGAACATTATTATATCCCCAACGGACATCCAGCTTGGTGAAGAATCTCGCTCCTTTGAGTCGGTTTATCAGTTCTGAAATGAGAGGTAACGTATATCGGTTTTTAATCGTGAGGGCGTTGAGTTTCCGATAGTCTTGTACCGGTCTGAGAGATCCGTCTTTTTTCTTGATAAAGAAGAACGGGGATGCATAAGGGGATTTCGATACTCTGATCCTCCCTGTCTCCAGGTTCTCTTTCAAGAATTCGTCAAGATGAATTTGTTCGTCTCGGTTAAGTGGATACGTTTTACAGTCTAGCCCTTTGGCTTCTGGTAGGAGTTCAATTGCGTGGTCCCAGACTCGTCGTGGGGGTAGTTTGTCAAATGACGCTTTTGTGAATACTGGCTCAAAATGATGATAAAACGGGGGGACGACGTCTCTGAACGTGAGTGTTGATTTTGCTCGTTCTGATTCTTCCGCAATCTGTTGGCTTTTGGTCTGAGATACGTTGCTTTCGACGGAAATTTTGTCAATCCTGCTCTGTAGGTCTACAGCGATGACTCTATCTCCGTCTTCAGGGTGATACTCCGTATCATCAGAAGGGTATGTGATGGTGTTGGTTTGCCAGTTGATGTTGGGATTCGTGCGTCGTAGCCAGTCGTGTCCTAATAAAATTCTGGCCTCTCTCTGTCCAGTGACCAGGAAGTCCATTAATTCCGTGCGACCTGCCACAGTTAGGCGAAGTGTCACATATTCCGTCAAAGGTCCAGTGCGATTCTTGGTTCCATCAGCGTTTGAGACAATAACACGAGTTGGTAGTGGTTTTGTGGAAATGTTGTGTTGCCGAACAAAGGCTTCGTCAATGATAGAATCTGTGCATCCTGAATCTATCAAGACTGGTATGACATGCGTTTGGTGATCGTCGATAGTGGATAATTGACATTGTAGTGAGAGTTTGCGTTGATGAGATGGGGGGAGGGATGCAAAGTCTTTGATCACATTCAATTGCTCTACGATATACTCTTCATCGTGTTGCTTGAGTAAATTGATTGTATCCGTCGTGATGTGTGGGTAACACTGGGGTGAGGCCCAGTTCCGAACCAATGCTTTGGCTCTTTCTTCTTTCTGATCTTTAATTCGTCGAGCCAACCATTCCGCTGAATGTGGCTTAGCGTATTTCTCGGCACGTAGGTTTTGGGAAACATGTTTCGATTTATCAGTTACAAATACATTTTCCGAACCGTGCTTACTGGTCAGAGAGTCCGTGCTTACTCCTGACCTTCGAGAAAATCCTTCGTCTTCGTCTCCTCCTGGGTTGTGGTTGCTTCTCTAGCTGCAACTTTCTTCAGAGGGCAGTTCCTTGCGATATGACCCGGCTGGCCACATCCGTAACATAACCTGAACCGACTCTGTCGGTCTGTATCCATGGGTACGCCTTGTCCAGGGAATACACCTCTCTGAGGTTGATCCTCAAACCTTCTTGCATACTGATTCGTCTGGGGTCTCGCCATCTGCTGTGGCTGCGGCTGTTGCACATGCTGGTGCGTATACGTCTGTTGTCTGTAGATAGGTCGCGACGGCTGCGTGACTTCTCTCTTTCGTCTTTCGTCTAACTGAAACTCTTCTCTTCGTGCCTCCCATGCGTAGGCTTGCGTTTTCCACTCAGCAAATGTTTTTGGTAGGTCTCTCTGGATGATGACGAAATCACAGATTCGAGAGTGAAGATTCTTTTTGAGAATTCGATTGATCACGTCGAAGTGAGTGGTAGCGTCATATCCGGCCTTGTCCATGAGCGTTGTGAAATGGCTAAAGAATTCGTCGCAATGCTTATTCTCCTGCTTGTATGTCTCAATCTCGTTTACCGCCTGCGATCTTTCGTTTGGATTTCCGAATACTTGGGCTAGATCGGTTAGGACGGTCGAGAGAGTCGGCCATACGGGGGTAGTTGCGTCGAGAGCTTTGGTAAGCACATTCTCTTTCCAAGCTTTTACTGTCGACGTTCCTTGGTCGCTGATTTTGGACAGGAGGTAGATGAGCTTCGTCTTCTCGTCTGGAAAGTAGGATGCGTAGGCGGTTAAGTACAACTGTAGTGCTTGGCGCCATGCTATGAATCGTTCCTTCTCTCCTTTGAATTCGAAGGGTTCTGCTGCGAGTGTTACTTTGCCGTGTAACTGCGTGGGGTTAGACATGGATGAGGGTTTTGGAGGAATTGGAGGTGGAGGTGGGCGTGTAGGCGGTAGCGGTAGGGTTTGTCTGGGTGGAGTCTCTGGTTCTATGGACGGTCTTGGGTTTCGATATTCAGAAAACACTTTGAAGGATTGAAACGAGGTTTATTTAGTTTGAATCGTAATCAAATTCGTCACTCCAATCGTTAGAAGTAAATCCAAAAATATTCTCTTCTTCTTCCAAATCTCTTTCTACCTGTGAGCTAGTGGTAGAATTACTGTCCAAGTTCGAGGTTGCTTCGTCTGGTGAGGGGGTTCTTTCTATAAGAACGTTTCCTTGGATCAACGAGGAGACGGGAGGAATATAAGAGAAATTTCCGTGGGTCAGATGGTACCCTGGTTTGTACTGCGAGTAGACTCTGTTGTTTTCTCGAATAAGTACTCCCCAGAACTCGGTGTTGATTTCAGTAACGATGAAACGATCTGTGGGGTGGCGGATGACTAAATCAAAAACTTCTTTCCCGTAGTTTTGGTATTCTCTGAACAATCGACAGACGTTCCTGATCTGTCTTTGTTCCCTTTCCCAATTCCTTCCTTCGAGGATTTCATGTCCAATTTTAAACACTAGTCTGCGAAATTGCGATATACAGGCTACTATCCTTCGTATTGCGTCGCGGCAGAAAGGGGTGACAACTAATACGTGGACTCCTGTCTTAAGATAATCTCGTGGGTTGAAGGCGTCGTTCTGTTCGGGAGTGAGAGGGACGTCGAAGAAGAATGGTATTTCCCGATAGAACTTGATGAGATCGGTTTCGTAAATTCCAATTCTTGTGAAAAGAAGTTCAAGAGGGGTAGGATTGAATGACGCTGTAACGTATACGTCAATTTTGGATGGTTCAAGATAGGGCGTAAGGAATTCTAGGTAGGGTGCGGAGTAGGGTCGTCGGTGGACGATGATTCCGCAGGGAAGTAGGTAGTGGATTTCTCTCCCGTCCTGTTCTGGTGAGAATGCAAGTTGGGGAGTTTCGACGTAGTTCGGGAGGTGATAGATGCGTGGGGAGATTCCGTCGGATAGTATGAGAAGAGCTGTTTTATGTTCTGCCGCTCGTCGTCTGAGGGCTCGTCTTTCTTCACTGTCGTTCCGACGAGGGGGTTCTAGAATTCTCTGTTCGTAGACTTCGATCGATAGGTGCTCTAGGTGTATCGAATTGAACCTGAACAATTCTCTGGACGCTTGATCGGATTCCCAAAAGCAGGTTTGAGCAGCTGCTGATGCGTACTCGAGTAAGCGCGACGTATTGACGGAGTTGGGAGATTTCGAATGCTAAATCGTCGACGGCTAGAACTAGTCCTTCTAGTTCAGAGATGGGGGAAGAGGCGGCTGATGAGTCTTCGTAGTACTCAGTTTCTGTGTCGCTGTGGGCAGGCTGGGGGTGCGTGGCAGCGTTGACAGGTACTGCAACGTGGAGGTCTTGGTTGTTGAGGGCGCGGTGGAATTCCTCGAGGGAACGTCGTTCTTCGTCCGTTACTAGGCTCTCTCTGATGCTCGACAGTTTGACGATTGTAGAAGTGATCAAAGACGACAGCTAGGGTGAGGACTTGAGCTAGAACAAGTAAGAGTATTACTTCGAGGTGGGTAGGAATGTTGGAGAAGACAACTAGCTAGCTTAGCTAGAAGGCAAGTGGTTGTTTTGGATGGGTAGGAGGACGGTGAATGACAACACGTCCGAGGGATGAAGGAAAAGGTAGGTTAGGGCTATAATGGGTTCAAGCGAGATGGTACGCTGTGAACGGATTGTAGAGTGAGCTTTCTATTTTGTGAGGCAACGATAAACTATAACAAAAACTAAACCTATCTCCTTCTGCACTTGCAGGGAGTAAGGGTCCAATGAGCTCTTGAGGTCGACAGACGCTAATATAGCGAGTAGAGGACTTTGAGAGGTAAGCTTCAAAGGTTCTTGTTGAGGAGTAAAGCGGGTAAATTCAGTAATAGAAAGCTAAGGAGCTATACATGAATAGGTACGGCTTTATATAGGGAACTGTCCGTTCCTCAGACCGAAAAGAGAATATACGAAAAGTGGTCTGAGGAATTAATCAACCAATAAGAAAAAGGGGAAGCAACTATCGTACGACTTCTGACTTGATTAATCAGCAGGTGAGAGACTTGTACTAATAATAGAAGATTGTCACGCGTGGTCAGGAACCGTATCCTCATGATGAGGTACGATTCTAGATAAGGCGTTATTAGTATTACCAAGCTTTACTGGGGCTTGGAGCTGGTTGGCGAGATGCCTACTACCAGTCCCTACCCAGTGTGCTGGCTAGCTGGGAGCGATGCCCAGTCTCTGATCTGTGATATAAAGTGATAGCGATGGTTAAGAAAGCCTGTGAGGGCTATGAGAAGTAAGATGGCAAAGGATACCTCTAGTCCTAGAGCCAGAGGTGTAACGGGAAAGGCGTTCGAGAACCAAGACATAACAAAGATAAGAAAATAATAAAACGGTCCTTACATGCATCTCTATCTGAATTCCATGATCACAAGCAAGTGATACTGGTTGCAGAGGCTCATTGAGGCACTTTGTCGACCATCGACCACTTCAACATTCCAAAGCTCGAGCTGCTACAACATTTTGCTCGAGCTATTCGGAATATGGGGGCTATTATGCAATTCCCAGCCGATGTGACCGAGCGGCTCTTGATCACACATTGCAAGCATCCTTTCAGCGGTACTAACAATCGGCTATTTTTTGAAATGCAGTGCGTTCGTATCCTCGACCGCCTAGAAAAGGCCAGGATGTTTCATTTGTATGCAACCTTGCGAGACCAAAAAATATGTCTGATAAATCAACTTGTTGCTGAGGAAGACTCTCTCTTAGCTGAAGTCAACCCCAAATCAAGCTGGCTGTCTCGTGCTTTACCCAACAAAAAGCACATATTTAGCATCTGGTCTATTCGTAACCATTTCTTGAAAGGGATCAGGTCTCTTGACGCAAAGGCTGTGTTTCACCTCACAAAGCAACCTAACATGGGATCTGTTTCCATCCAAGATGCTGCTGAGCACTTTGCTTTGAAGGATCTACCAAGGGCTATATCCGACTACGCTCTAGGCCTGCAGCAAGTCGGTGGGCAGAGCTTTTCCGGATCAAACAACTGTATGAATTTAGCGTTCACACACATCCACATGTGGTATAAATGTAAAATACAGCTCCACTCGACTTTCCGCCCACATCTCATCATGCCCGCACAAACAATCCAAGCATATCTGTCTTTACCTAAAACGCTGTACGGAAACTGCGATACAGTGAAATTGAGTTGCCCCAACAGGCAGGACTTCACACGTAAGTGTATACAAGTTTGTGTGTACCCATTCATTAATACATTCTTCTTTTGTTTCAGCTTTTCCAATTGTTCAAGTCTGCATTATATTCCAAGTAATAGTGCCAAAAAATACTATCCTCAATCAACACCTTGCGCCCGCCCTTGTGTACGTGCAAAACTTTGGGTTTTCAGGACAGTGGAGAGATTCCCGTAGTATTTTTGCCAAAGAAAATGTTGATATGTACATTGTTGAATGGCTGTTTCGCAACACATTGACGGCCGATGGAGAAAGGCTTCGCATGGGCGGTGTTTACCCTTTACATTCGATACATATACTTGTGGATCTCATACCGGTTTTTGGCGCAGTCATGGATCGCCATATCAATGCCAGCAACTCTCTCAAACTTCCCACCAAGTTTTATGTCAATAACTTTGCAGATAAAGAAATGTACAATATGTTTTAGAATTCTTGCCGCCATTGAGGCGAGTAGATGGGCTCACAACTGTTTCGTACTACAGTGTTGCTGTATTTCTAGTAGCAGAAATATGATATCTGTGTACATGTTTTATCTGCCCGGCATCCAAGATCTTATCAGGTTGATAAAGTCATATCTACATCATATCGCGAACTTCTTGTAATCTTATCATCCTGATTCAGCTATTTGGATATATATGGTAATACCGACTTTTTCCACCAATCAGAGACGTCGGCGCCAGAAGCCTTGGATTTTCAAATGCGCTTATAATTACTCCTAAGCGAGTTTTTTGCATTTTACAGATGTGGTTTTAATGTAGTCGACGTTTTGTCAAGTTCATGGTGTTATTTTCTACCTAGCACTATGCTTTCTTCAACATCGTTCTGATATTTGTCTACAAGCATGTCTCAGTATATGGGACCTTCTTGTCCTTCCGAAACCATTATATCATATGGCAGCAAATCGATGACACCCAAGTTAAATACATGCACTCGATTTCGCATGAGGGGCTTCACCCCTAAAGCTTGCCCAAAATTCAATGTGCCTGCATGATCGATAATGCATTCAATCCGAAAGGATAAATAACTCGCTCACCCTTTCTTTGAAGGTAGTAGTTTCTCCTACCCCCTCACACGCACACAACGCGAAAACGATGCCGGGTGACGCTTTCAACTCTTATGATGCAGAAACCATTCCTTCCAACGGCGTTGGGCTTTCAGAGTCCCGATTATCAGAAGACAGGCGAAAGTTGCTGGATCTCGTGAATCGCTTGCACAGTACCGGGTCAGACTCCTGTTTCACTTTCTATGTACAAAGACGTTACTGACAACACACTATATGAAGCGTTCAGATTGATATGGACTTACCCATGATAGCGGTCATTGGCTCGCAAAGCGCGGGTAAATCCTCGCTCATAGAGTCAATATCTGGTATTACTTTACCTCGCGCCGCTGGGACTTGCACAAGGTGCGGTCAAGCGTGCCGAATATTATTGATGTCCTAAGTTCCTTTTCAGGTGTCCGACAGAATGTAGGCTCTCGCATTCTAATAACCCTTGGGAATGCTTGGTTTCTCTCCGGTTTATAACTGACGTGACAGGTCAGCCTCTCGGACAGGTTCGCAATGAAGGGTTTGGCCCTCCGATCACGGACAAGGCCAAAGTTGAGGACCGAATTCGTAGGGCCCAGCACGCCATCCTTAATCCTGATATACCCTCCCTTGATTATCTTACAAGCAAATTACAACCGTCAGAACACACACAGCTATCTTTTTCCAAGAATTGTGTTTTGCTGGCCATAAGCGGACCAGATGTTGCTGACCTTTCGTTTTGCGATCTACCTGGTTTGATCGCTTCTGTGGGCCAGGGCGGTAATGCCAGTGATATTGATCTAGTCAAGGGCTTGGTCTCGTCTTATATTGAGAAGCCAAGTTGCCTCATCCTTTCAACTGTGGCTTGTGAAAGTTCGTCAGGTTTTAGCGTGCGTTCAAAGTGTCCACAATCTTAACTTGTGTTTTAGCCGATTTCGAGAATCAAGGTGCACATCACTTAGCCAAGATGTTTGACCCTGAAGGCATTCGCACTGTTGGTCTGTATAGTGAATACGCTGTATCTTAAAGAATAAACTCATATTTCACTAGGGGTTCTCACCAAGCCCGATCGTATACCGTCTGGCGAAGAGGACCGCTGGTTGCAATTTATCAGAGATGAAAGAGAATCGCTTTCCAATGGCTGGTATTGCGTCAAACAGCCTGACTCAAGGAGTTTGAGCGAAGGTCTGACTTGGGACGAGGCAAGAAAGAAAGAAAACGACTTCTTCATGATGCAACCTTGGAGCGCGCTTGATCCAACATTTCAAGGGCGTTTACGTACGAACAATCTCATTCGTTGCCTGAGTTCCATTCTTTCTGATTTGATTGCGTCGAGGTGGGTTGACGTAGTATACCTATCGGTTTCACAGCGACTGGAAGGCACCCCTGATGCGGATGGCTTGTTGCAGACAATCAGACCGCAACAAGAACGGTTCAAAAGAGCCATCCGCCGCACAGCCCCTAATTTTCGACCATGTTGCAAAGATGAGGACTATACACTGCCTGTGCCAGATTTCCTCGCGAACGAAGAGGATGAGGGTGCAGGTCGTCAGGCCATACAAAAGTTGAAGGACGGGAAAATAAAGATTGACGATATCTACATCGATGAAGTCCTTGATCGTGCTCAAAGGTAATCTTCTTTCCCTCGCCAGATTAGTTCCCGCCTTGATCGCATTATCTTCAGGGCACGTACGCGCGAGTTGCCCGACAATTATCCCTTCGTAGTCCAGAAAGCATATATCCAACAATTCGTGAATCTGTGGGAAGCTCCTTCGCTCTCTCTCTTCGATTCCATCTAACAAATCTTAAGCAGAGATCTGGAAAATATTGTCACAGAACATTTCTCTGAGATTGGACGGGGTCATCTGCAACGACTCGTTATGTCAATCTCATCACTTTCTTTGTGATCTGTGAAGCTCACCGTCATCTAGGCTAACAGTGAAAGAGCACCTCGACAAATGTGCCAGCAAAACCAGAAAGCACATAGAATGGCTTCTGGAGGTCGAGAAAACTCCCAATACTCTCAATGTCCACTATTACAGCGACTATAAAGAAAAATTTATGTCGTACTACAGAGCATGTCGCACTCCGGACAATGAAAATCAAGTTCGGAAGAATCTGCAATCAGCTCGTTTCCCTCGGGGATCACATCACGCCACTATCCATCCTAGTGTTGCCACAACATTGGCCGGGTTGAGCGAACTGGGCATCAACGGAATCAAGGCCGTTGACCTCATGAAGCTTCTCCCTGCAGATGAAATGGAGCCAGCACTGATCATAATGGCCGGCGTGCGGGCATACTTTCAAGGTACGAGATAGAAATTAGAATATTTTGCTTAATTAACATTAACTCACCGTATTATCAGTTTCTTATAAACGCTTCGCGGACATGATACAATGGCCATAGACTTCGATCTAGTCATGGGTTTGGAAACGGAGCTTGAGACAGTTATACTCGATGGCCTTGGGATCACCAGTTCAGATGGCTACGAACGTTGTCATACATTTCTGCAGGAGCATGTTAGTGTTAGGGTACAGCGTGAAGAGCTTCAGAAAAAGCGAGAGAGGTTGAATACCGCAAAGAATGAGTTACGGCAGCTATCTACTTGATGCGTTGCTCTTTCATCGAACATAATCAAGTAGCTATCATGGACCCGTGATTTATCTCTATCTACACTCGAATATGGCCACCATATACTTGCAAATCATGCATATCGCTAGCTATAGTGAATGAACTGACCCGGTATAAACCCTACTGATTGTTAGTTGTTGTGACGTCATACCACGGCATGCGGCTATTCAAAGTTGTAACCGCACTGTCAGGAGTTGTCCATGCATTTGCAGAGTCAAATCTCCAGGTCATTCATGTTATTTTCAAGCTTCAAGCTCCAACTTTGACATTCCTCTGGATCAGACCGCTGGCCCGAACCTGATAAAGAACGTTCTGTCTCGTTCACTTCGGACTTGCTCGACGGTCTACACTTCTTACCGTATCCAGAGAAATATGCAATGACTTTCTTTCGGTTTCACTCTATGTAAGTTTTGATTACCCTGAGACATCAATTTTTTTCAAATCCACATATTTCAAGTTTTAGTAGTGTCCTCAGCATCAATCTATTGGTCGATTTTGAGTCGTTGCCAACCGGTCTTACCCGAACGTGCTTGAGGGGCTCGACCCTTAAATTTTGTGGGTATTACGATGTGGAATGGGGCACGATCGTCGATGTTTCGATAAAAACCCAGAAAGAAGGGGAATACACACTCAACTGGCTATCAACTTCCCCAGCACTCTCCCTGTCCTGCTTCCAAAGATGCCCGGCGACGTTGATTCAGACATTAAAATGGACTCATCGAGCCTTTCTGATATCGGAGCTACCTCCTCAAGTGGTGTGGGACTCTCTGATTCCCGTTTGTCGGAAAAACGGCGCAAGTTACTCGACTTGGTAAATCGCCTGCACAGTACAGGGTACGACGATACTTATTTTGAATATAAAAGAGAAGGCTAACAGTGAATGATATGAAGCGTTCAAATTGACATGGACTTGCCCATGATAGCGGTCATTGGCTAGCAAAGCGCTGGTAAATCGTCACTCATAGAGTCTATTTCCGGTATCACTTTGCCTCGTGCTTCTGGAACTTGTAGAAGGTGTGCACATATATGTTAGATTATTACCTCCAGTAAGACTTCTCTTGTTCAGGTGTCCGACTGAGTGCAGACTCTCTCATTCTGATGAACCATGGAAATGTCTAGTTTCTCTCCGGTTCATCACTGGCTCAAATGGTCAGCCACTTGATCAAGTTCGCAACAAGAAGTTTGGGCCTCCCATCACGGATAAAGCTGAAGTCGAGGACAGAATCCGCAGGGCTCAGCGCGCAATTCTCAATCCTGGTAAACCCTTTTTGGATTATCTCCAAGGCGGGTTACGGGCGACAGAACGGACAGAACTTTCTTTTTCGAAAAACTGCGTGTCTTTGGCCATTAGTGGTCCTGATGTTCCTGACTTATCATTTTGCGATCTGCCTGGACTGATAGCATCCGTCAGTCAGGGCGGTAATGCCGGTGATATAGAGCTGGTCAAGAGCTTGATCTCGCTTACATAGAAAAGCCTAGTTGTTTGATTCTTTCAACTGTTGCCTGCGAAAGTTCGTAAGCTTCCACTTACATGCATTTAAACTTCCATGTTCATTCAGCTATGCTTCAGCCGATTTCGAGAACCAAGGTGCACATCAGCTGGCTCAAGCATTTGACCGTGAAGGGGCTCGTACTGTTGGTAAGTACCACGAAGACTCGAAGCTTACTACGATTAAAAGTTCTCAGGTGTCCTTACCAAACCTGATCGTATGCCTTCTGGAGAAGAAAGTGGTTGGCTAAAGTTTATCGAGAACAAAAGAGAGACGCTTGCCAATGGCTGGTATGTGTTAAGCAGCTTAGCGCACAAGAACTGAACCATGGTTTGACTTGGGCCGATGCGAGAAAGCAAGAGAGCGAATTTTTCATGAAGCAACCCTGGAGTTCGCTTGACTCAACATATCAAGGGCGTCTAAGGACCGGCAATCTCACTCGCTGCTTGAGTTCCCTTTTTCCGACTTGATTGAATCAAGGTGGGTGAAGCCTGATAGGACTGTATGCGTTGAAATGCGTAATCATATACGACATATGCAGGCTCCCAGGGATACAAGATGATGTTTACAATCTTTTGAAGACCACAGACGCGGAAATACGCGAACTTCCTGAAGCACCATCAACGGATAGTGTGGGAGAGGTGATACGCCTCGTGAATCAATTTTTACGAGCGCTGACACGGCGACTTGAAGGTACTCCTGATGCAAACGGCCTTTTACAGGCCATAAGACCAAAGCAAGAACAATCCAAGAAGGCTCTCCAAGCCACAGCACCCAATTTTCAACTATGGAGCGAAAGAGACCAGTCGAAAAATAAGAACACACTACTCCCACCGGACTTCCTCTTCATTGAAGAGGACAAAGATACGAACGAAGAGCCGAAGGTGGAGGACTCATCGAAGAAGATATACAACGACGAAGTCCTCAAGTTTGCTCACAAGTATAGTTTAGACGATTCTGCAGTTTATTATTATTCTGATGCATCGGTTCTCAGTGCTCTCACCCGCGAGCTACCAGATAACTATCCCTTCGTAGTTCAGAAGGCATATATCCAACGGTTCATAGAGCAATGGCATGGCCCCTCGATGTCATTCTTTGATTCCGTTCGCAACATTTTGAAGGATGACCTTGAAAAATTGGTCACCGAACACTTCGCGAAGACCGGCAAAGGGCACTTAAAAAAGCGTGTCATGTCAGCTCTTTCTGTTTGCGCAATATTTGTGTGAATTTCACCCAACTTAGGTCATAGAACATCTTGATAAATGCGCCAGTAAATCCCAAAAGCACATTGAATGGCTTCTAGAGGTTGAGAAACCTCCGCTTACTCTAAACGTCCATTATTACAGCGACTACAAAGACAAATTTTTGTCTTACTATAAAGGTCGTCGAGGAAGAGGAACTCAAATTTTGAAGAGCTTAATTTCACCTCAATCTCTTGAAAAGGAATCGAGCGAAGCAGCGCGCTCCAGTATAAACATTGCTTTATCCGAATTGACCAAAGCGGGATTGGATGGTGTCAAGGCCGCAGATTTCATGAAGTTATGTCCCATGGACCCAATGGAGCCTGCACTAGTTATCATGGCTGGTGTTCGGGCATACTTTTAAGGTGCGTCGAAGATTGGGGTACAAGTTTGCTGCTCAGTCTATTAACTTTCTTACCAGTCGCCTATAAACGATTTGCGGACATGATACCCATGGCCATTGACCACGACCTCGTCAGGGGTTTAGAAACAGGACCAGAGAGAATCCTGATAAAAAATCTGGAGGCGACTGGAACAGGTGGCTACGAGCGTTGTCAGCTACTGCTAGAGGAACAACATAGCACCAGGATTCGTCGTGAAGAACTGCAGAAGAAGCGAAAGAGGCTGAATACCGCGAAGGATGAGCTACGACAACTACACACGTATGGTCAAGGGGGTACTTACCCTTAGAGACGAATGATTAAGCAAGGCAACATAGTTCAAGTCGTTGAACGTTGAACTCCGCGAACGCGCTATTATACGAGGTCAAATATTTTGAGGCATTTAAACATTGTCGGGGGGTCGGGGAAATAGTCCGAAACCTAAACAAATCCCCCGAGCCAAAAGAAGGTTAAAAGTGCTGTTAGCATAACAGCAGGTCCACTAATCATGATGGAAAGATCCGCTAGAGCTGCAAGAAACGAAACGGATGAGCGCTGGGCGTTAAGCTGTGTGGAAGCATACTAGGTTTAGAAATGTGAACGTCTACTGTCGGCGTCTGAATGCATAAGTCCGTTTCCTCGCCTTTCCCATGCACCACAGAGAATGAGGCAGAAGGGAGGTCCGCGTTTACATAAAACAAGAGCTTGACAGTGAACCAAAGGCCCATTTAGCTTATCTCACCAGTACACCCACGTCTCGGCGCCAGAGAGAAAGACGCAGGTGACTAGCCTGAAGCTCGATACCAGCGGTTAGCATCAAATATGTTCCGAAACTTTACTAGCACACTTGCGGCGGTGAATGCGGGCGGGAAGAAGGACGATGCAAAGAAGAGTATATCGCCCACCTTGCGTACAGATATATACAGCGCGATGGACCAGACGAAAGCGTGGCTGGGTGGAGAGGGAGGAGGGGGTCAAGCAGGGGATGGGGTGTCGTACGGGTCGATTGTGTCGACTATCCAGAAACACTTCCCAGATATCACAGTGGGACTCGACTCTGTGGGGCAAGCAGAGGGGGAGGTGGCGATCGTGGTCGGGGGCGTTACGAATATGATACTGGAGATGAGCAAGTGGGACGGGATGGCCGGGGGCATGGCCATGCGCACGTGGGTCGACACCCTCAGCGACGCCCACGGGAGGATTAGCGCCGACCGCGGCGGGGTTAAGATATCCAGAAAGGAGCTCGTCGGTCGGGGCATTACCCGTGGAGTCAATCAGTTGACCGATGTAACGCTCATGACAAGAGAGTTTGCCGCCAGAATACAGATCATATCCCTCTTAAAGAGTGGTAAGCACTCATCTCGCCTTCCCGTACCTCGCACATGAACACTTACCCATGGCTGTCCTTCGAACCACTCAGTAAACACTAAAATACACGGGACTGGAAGCGACCAGGCCAGACAGGGTGAGGCGCTCTGGAGCTCAAAGTTTATTTGATCGCAATTCGCGATGTGAGAATGGCGTATCAGTGTAGCGCTTGAGTCCGTATCTGTAGTAGACACTCCTGTATAACAATTTATTGATTCCAAAAAAGGAATGATCAGTCGATCGATGAATGGCAAAGGTTTTTAAAGTGCCTGAGCGTCAAAGCACCGCAGCCTTATGCTTGACCACGTTTGCAAACTTTGACACTGCTTTGTACCGAAGAATTTTATTGATCGCCGTACATCTTGCGCAACGGCCTCTCTATCCCTCACTTGATTTCCCACTGCTGTCAATATCGGCGCCAGAACCACATAATGAATCCAGCGGAAGAAAGATACAACGGGCTTGCTTCGACAGTTTCGGATTCAATGAGTAATTCAATTACAGGTATTACTATTCAGGTATTACAGGACCTGCAGAAGCCATGTGTCAGCTTGCATTCTCTGCAAGATAAGTAAATTTACGCACATAGTTAGAAAGATTCGTAGGAAAACAATAGGATGGCTGCTCTAATACGTCAGCAGATATACTGTCAGGGGAATCTTGAATATTTATAGTATATTCATTAAAGTCGATGTCGTCGAAATTAACATCGAGCATAACAGAAGCATCCGGTTGCGTTTGTGGATGATTGTAAGGTAATGTGGACTTGTGATCTCCAGTGCCCTGCGCCAGAGAAAAGTGCGAAAAAGGAAGTGGGCTGAACGGGTAAACATAGTCTGATATGGGTTTGTTCTCCCTGGATTCAGACGTTGGTGAGTCCATTTTGGGGGTAATGGTCGATGAAGGCGAAGAAACTGGGGGAGTAGGATACTGGAATTTATAGAGTGCAGAGAACATCAAGACGGGACGTGAACGTCGCAGGGACTCTGGTGAGGACGTATCGATACGAAAGACGTCTTGAAGGATGGTGTATTGTGTAGGATCTATCACATGATGTTAACAGATAATCAAGACATCTGTACGATATTTAATCCTACCAGATGCTTGACACAGTGTATCCCAATAATTAGGAACCAGAGTCGTGCTGTACAACAGCGAACCATCAGGTCTACCAGCAGTATTGGCTAGGTCGACGACTTGCATTCGCGTGTCTTCAGAGTGGACAGGTGCACCATCGAAGAGCACAATGTAAGAAGACTTGGCGGTGATCGGAGATGGTGATACAAAAGTTACAGTTGGATCGATATTGCGCATCGGCCGGGGGGATCCCGATAGAAGAAGATTGCCGTCGCCACCGGTCATAGAGAATGACGGATAAGTATCGTTGGCTGATGACTGGAAGGAGCTCGCCGACCATGGTATAAATTCAGGCAAGACATCGATAGGAATGACGGTCCGAGGCATGTGTGATTTTTCGGGTTGTGATGGCATGACGGGAGTATAGTCAGTTGAAGGAGAGATGGGAGAACTGCAGGTGGACGAGGAGCTATCGCTGGCCCAAAGGTCTGAGGGTGGGCGAGGAAGAGAAACACTGGAGGTGGTGGCCCAAGGATGAGGTGTGAAAATAAAGGACGAGTGGCCTGCCTCGTTTCGAGGGCGATGATAACAGGACGTGAGGGAATCCATAACTACAAAATAAACCAAAACATATTAATAATGTTGGAAAAGGCATGTCATCGGGGCGGTGGGCGAAACGGCAGCAGATGAGAGATACTCACGCTCTCTGCCCTCAGATGTGTCTCTGAGCTGCTGGAGACGGCTGCCGACCTGCTTGGCAGTGCGATACTTGCCAGTGGTACGATATATGTAATCGGAGATGAAGCGGTTGCGCATTGGGAAGCGACCGAGGATTCTCGTCTCCCTCGAGTCGTCTGGTTCGTATTCTT